CCAACAGCCCACAGCTTCAGATCCTTGAGGACATCAACAGAACAGTAATTTCCAAGATGCCCTGAATCCCAAATTCGTTCCTGACCCTGACACAGGAATAACTGCACTGGGACCTCCGTGGCTGGAGGAGGAAATTCTCTCTTAATTGCTTTCTCTCTGGCTCAGGAAAAGAGTTCCATTATTTCCTGTATTGGCATAGTATCTCCACCTATGTCTGGAAACATGCATTCTGCAGAACTTTAGTTTAAAAAGCCCCGGCTGCTGTGGCTCAGTGAATGGAGCGCCGGCCTGTGAACCAAAGAGTCACAGGTTTGGTTCCCAGTCAGGGCACATGCCTGGGTTGCAGCCCAGGTCCCCAGTAGGAGGCGTGCAAGAGGCAACCACACATGGATGTTTCTTATCCTCTCTTTCTCCCTCCTTTCCCCTTCATAAAAATAAATAAATAAAATATTTTAAAAACATAAAAATAAAAATGAAAAACAACTGAGAAAAGCATTCTTAAAATACTTAACCAGCCAATAAGTCTGTATTGATCCAGTGTAAAGCCATCTTACCCCCGTTTCCCACCATTTATAATGTATTTTATTGATTATGCTATTACAGTTGTCCCCCCTGGATTCCCTCCTGTTTTCCCCCCTGTATTCCCCTTCACCCTGAGTATCCCCTCCCATCCGCATTCCCCCCTTAGTTCATGTCCATGGGTCGTACATGTAAGTTCTTTGGCTCCTCCATTTCCCATACTATTCTTAACCTCCCCTGTCTGTTTTCTGCCTACCATTTATGCTACTTTTTCTCTGTACCTTTTCCCCCATTCACCCCCTCCCCTTCTCCACAAATAAGCCTCCATGTGATCTCCATTTCTTTGAATCTGTTCCTGTTCTAGTTATTTGCTTAGTTTATTTTTTTTTTTGCTTTCTTTTTTTAGGTTCTGTTGTCAATAGTTGTGAGTTTGCTGTCATTTTACTGTTCATATTTTTGATCATCTTCTTTTCCTTAGAGAAGTCCCTTTAACATTTCATATAATAAGGGCTTGGTGATGATGAACTCCTTTAACTTGAACTTATCTGGGAAGCACTTTATCTGTCTCTCTATTCTAAATGAAAGCTTTGCTGGATAGAGTCATCTTGGATGTAGGTCCTTGCCTTTCATGACTTTGAGTTCTTCTTTCCAGACCCTTCTTGCCTGCAAGGTTTCTTTTGAGAAATCAGCTGACAGTCTCATAGGAACTCCTTTGTAGGTTACTGTCTCCTTTTGTCTTCCTGCTTTTAAGATTCTCTCCTCATCTTTAATCTTGGGTAATGTAATTATGATGTGCCTTGGTCTGTTCCTCCTTGGATCCAACTTCTTTGGGACTCTCTGAGCTTCCTGGACTTCCTGGAAGTCTATTTCCTTGGCCAGATTGGGGAAGTTCTCCTTCATTATGTTTTCAAAGAAGTTTTCAATTTCTTGCTCTTCCTCTTCTCCTTCTGGCACCCCTATGATTCCAATGTTGAAACATTTAAAGGTGTCCTGGAGGTTCCTAAGACTCTCCTCATTTTTTTGAATTCTTGTTTCTTCATTCTGTTCTGGTTGAATGTTTATTTCTTCCTTCTGGTCGAAACTGTTGATCTGAGTCCCGGCTTCCTTCCTGAGTCACTGCTGGTTCCCTGTACATTTTCCTTTATTTCACTTAGCATAGCCTTCACTTCACTTTTTCCTCTATTTTGTGACCATATTCAACCAATTCTGTGAGCATCCTGATGACCAGTGTTTTGAACTCTATCTGATAGGTTGGCTATCTCTTCATCACTTAGTTGCATTTTTTTCTGGAGCTTTAATCTGTTCTTTCATTTGGGCCATTTGTGTGTGTGTGTGTGTGTGTATGTGTGTGTTGGCACACCTGTTACATAGTAAGGGGCAGAGCCTTAGGTATTCGCCAGGGGGAGAGGGAAGCAACTACATCACTGCATTATGACACTGTATGTGGGGGAGGGGTCCAAGAGGGAACAGTGCCACTTGCTCAGCTCTAGGCTGACTTCCAGTCACTTCCTCCACTACCCACAAACAAATTGGGCCCTCCTGGTGCTGACTCCCAGGTGGGTGGGCTTGTGCACACTCTAGGACCCTGTGGTCTCTCCAGCAGACTCTCCTGTGAGACTGGGAGTTCCTCTCACTGCCACAACCTCCACATGTGTTTTCAGTCGGAGGTTTTGAGGCTTTATTTCCCCATGCTGGAACCCTGGACTGTGCAGTCTGTCTCACTCCCCAGTTGTTCCTCCCAGTTTATCTGCATGCAAATGTGGGACTGCCTGCTTCGTCAGCCACCACCTCATTGCCCCAGTTCTCCAGCCGCCACCTTGCCGCAAGTCCTCTCTGCCCAGCTGCCCATCTGTGCCCTTCCTACTGGTCTGGATGAATGTTTTTTCTTTAACTCCTTGGTTTTTGGACTTCCACACAGTTCAATTTTCTGTCAGTTCTGGTTGTTTTTTGTTTTTAAATTTGTTGTTGTCCTTGTTTTGGTTGTGTGAGGAGGCACAGTGTGTCTGCCTATGCCTCTGTCTTGGCTGGTGGTCCCCCACCATTTTTTGTCATCTCCATGGTACCCAGACCGTGTCATGACTCCTGTAAAATAATGTGCTCTCCCATTTCTTTGTGCAGCATCCATTTAAATTTAAAATTCTCTGTGACCTTGTCTGGTTATTCTTTACATTCCCAAATCACTGTATGCAGACTCTACAATGGACTTACAATGTGGAATTTACATATTCGTTTACACATCTGTTTCCCCACTAGCCTCAGACTTCCTCATCTGGAGAACACCCCTCAACTCTGTCACAGGACATTAAGATTCCTTGAAGGAGCGAGGAAGTGGATGAATTTACTAAATGAATAGAAATCCGTGTGTCCTCTTTCCCATGTTTGCTCTATTCATGTTTTTCTCTCTCTCTATGCTGTCTCCCTTTCTTTCTAACGAATTGTGAACTTTCTGTATGTAACGGTGTGTTCGGGAAGTTCCTAAAATAAAAATTTTCAACTGAGATTCAAAACAGTATAGTGAGTGGAGGGGCAGACCATTCTGTGTTAAAAAGGTGACCAAATACCAGTGAGAAAAGACTTAAATCCTCACCCTGTTTAGGGTGTTAGAGAAGAGTGGAAACTGAGGCAGGGTTTCACAAGAATTATTTTGGAAAGGCCCACTGGTGGGCTGAGTGGGAAGCACCTGGGGCCCAGCTCCCACCGCAAGCTGCGGAGACATCCCTCAGCAGAGCCTCTTGGTGAACTTGGATGTGTGTCTCGTGCTGTCCAGGGCTACCGTGGACTAGCCTCTCCCCTGCCCCCAACACCCAACAGCGGGCAGTTGCCCAGGTGAGCTCTCCAAATGGCAGGTGCAAAGGAGAGGTCGATGCTGCTTTGAAATGGGCCTGCATTCCGAAGCTAATGTTGGATATGTCTCTATACAGATCCCGAACCACATTTCCAAGTCGTCGACTGCCAGAGAGGTGAAGGCCGCTGTCAAGAATATTGTAATTATATGGAAACGCAGGTGGGCTACTGCTCTAAGAAGAAGGAAGCTTGCTGCGTGATTCCGGCCTGAGGCTGCTGACTGGGGAGCCGAGCTCCATCCCCCAACTTGTCCCCCAGGCCCAGCACCCACCCAGGTGCAGCTGTGGAGGGGAAGGACCTGAGCAGACAGGAGCTGACATTGTCATCTGTGCCAGGAAGTCTCGACATCTCATGGTAGCCAAAAAAGACCAAAATGGGCTACACATAGTCTTACTCACATGATCTTAGAGAAAGTAGCTGGGCTGGAGACGCACAAAAGTCTTCAAACTCACATACTCTTTGCTGGTCATGTAGAGGTAATAAAGTTTCATAGGAAAGCATTCAAGTATTTCGTCCTTTCATGTTAAAAGTATGTTTTAGTGTCTGCCTTTGTTCTAGGTACTGACATGTTAATGAATTGAGAACATGACTATATGGGGAAGGTACATTAAATAAATAAAAACAAGGAAATGCTACATATTCTGGTATGTGGATACATCCAAGGCAATATGTGGAGAAGATAAATATAAGGGAATTTAGAAGGGATTCTGGGAGATATTTGAGCAGGACTTTGGAAGATAAGTAGGAGTTTGTTAAGTGGGAGAGAGAGGCAGATGTTTCTAGACGAAGGTAGATTTTATAGAAATGCATGGAGAATTCCATGAAGATGGAATTGCTAAGGAAGTTCAAAAAGAAGGACTAACTCCAAGTACCTGATGAGGCTAGTGTGGGAATACTGTGTGAAATTGTCCAAGAAAAATATTATGCTGAACACCTTGGACCATTAAACAAGAGAAGGTCGTCCATTGCTCCAAGCCAGTGGCATCAACAGAGTTTTGATTTTAGGATATGTACCCTAACGGAAGCCTGGAAAGGTCTGAGACTGGAAGCAGGAGCACCAGGTAAGAGAAGAGGGCAATGGGTGGAGCCCAAGGACACCCATCCAGTGGCAAAGCGGAGACAGGAGCTTTGGAGAGAGAACAGAGGGGATAACCGAAGAGGCCAGTTTACGGGTTTTGTGTCCGAGAGGAGGGAAAGCTCTGTGCCACCCAAGGCCGCACAGAGGGAGGACAATTTCTTTCTGTGCAGCCTCTCTGTGCAGCCTTGGAGGGGCCTGGGGAAGACCAGACCAGCTCCAGATGCGTCCGAGTTGAAGGCCTGGGATGTGCACCCGTGGGTTTCTGAACCCAGAGCCATGGGGCTCGGACAGGGGTGAGGGGGAAGAAGCTTGGTGGGATGGGAGGCAGCCCAGGACGGGAAGAGGGGGCTGAGACCACACGAGAGGAGACTGGGCTTCAGAGAGCTCTGGGCCTAGGTCAAGTCCACCACCAGTACAGCCTTGGCTGCTACGCGTGAGGATGGTCGTGTCTCCTTCTAGGTGATGGGAACAAACACTAAGGGAGGTTTTCTACTTGTCTTTTTTTTTGTGTGTGTGTAAGGGTTAAAATAGTGAAGATGTATAAGACCCAAGTGAGGGGTTAATGTGTCTATGAGGGGAGGTTTTGGAAGAGAGCACGAAGTTGAGGTGACAGAGAAAACCAGAGGCCTCCCTGCAAATAGGTCACCCTTCTCCTTCAGCCCCACAGACGATGGCCTCATTATCCTCCACACATCCACTCCTCCATTCCACGAGCAGGCAGCAAGCGCGCATGGCTCCAGGTCCTGTTCTAGAGGCAGGAGATCCAGTAATGAACCAAATCCCCCCCATATTCAGACAGCGCACACTCAAACTGGGGAGCCAGGTGATAAGCAAGATATGTAGGTAAAATGCATGATATATTAGAAAGTGATCAATGATAACAGAAAAAAATGTCGGGCAGAGAATACAACTTGTCGGCAGAGGGCTGTATTCGGAGGAAGGGATTAGAGAAGGTCTCACCAAGAGGGGAGATGTTGAGTCAAGACTTGAAGGAGGTGAGGGGTGGCCCTCCATGGTCTGTGTCTGGTGGGCGGTGACATTCCAGGGAGAGAAAAGGACACGTGAAGGAGCAGCAAGAGGTGGCCCATGTGGCTGCAGCAGCAGGAGCCCAGGGCAGGCAGAGGGGAGGGGAGGTCAGGACATTCTATACTAGATTTAAGTTGCCTCAAGAAAGTCGTACAATGAACAGAAGAAGGAACTTCCTGGGCATTAAGATGACAAAGCAATAAAACAGGTTACCCAGAGAGATTTTGGAACCTACTTTGGGATTCAAATGAAACAGGTAAAAACAGAGTGTTTTTCTACCATTCCATGGTAATTTTGGCAGTGCTGCTTGAACAAATCTTATGGGTTGTCCAGGTCAGATCTGGGTCAGCGACTCCATTAGTTACACCGTGCTGTTCTTGGCCCAGAAGTACATGACCTCGGGCTTTATGGACACCTGCTGTGCCCCAGGTGGGAGGAGACCGTTGCTGCAGCAGGTGGCTTCAGGTCATTGCAGAGCCTGTAACTGCTTGCCCAATGGCATCTCTTTGTGCCCTCCAAGCCCACCAGCCTCACACAGTGTGCTGCCCTCCCACCGCACCCCAACGCCTCCATGGGCTTTGATCCCTCCAACTCGTCCACCCCCCAGAGACTCTATGTCTTCAGACAGTCTGTTTCCTCCTCGGCGCCTAAGACCTGCTACAGCAGGGCAGGTGGGCGGGCTCAGTCAATCATTATCCCCACTCAGCTCCTACGACGTCAATAATGACTGCACCGAACCTTGTCTTCCTATGCGCACGAGCGTGGTCGCTCCTGCAGGCCTGCCTTGCTCAGAGAGAGCTCACCTGTCCCTCCTGAGTCATGGGAAGCAACCTTACTGGACCCGAGGGTCCCTTAAATAAGAACACAAATGAAAATGTATCTGTCCAAGTGAAGAGAGACTGGGGTTATTAACGCACCATCTGTCTCTTTCTTGGTAGACCAGGACAATGCCCAGAGTCAGAGAGCAGCGTGAGGACATCAGGCGTGAGGCCTGAGCCCGGCCGTGGGGAAACCAAGTGCAGCCGCAGGTGAGGCAGAGTCTGAAGTCCAGTGTGAGTGCACAGAGGGCGCGGGGTGCCGCACGGGGCCAGTCGTATGCGTTCAGGAGCTGGGAGGCACCTGTGCTCTCTCTTCCGCCTGCTGTTTTCGCTCTTCCACGCACCGCCTGTGGGCTCCTGCCCTGACGTGCCCCAGCTCTGCTTCTCCTTCCTCTGAAACCTCCGAGAACGTCCTTGAAGAACTCTCATCATTACCTCCTACCTGTCCATACGGGCACCCGTCATGGGCCAGTTATAATTCCTCTTTCACTGCAGGACAAATTAAGGGCCAAGGGCCTAAATCAGGTGGAGATCAGATGATATACCCAGGACCCGGACCCAGTTCACGTCAAGCCAGAGATTCAAGTGTGGGCTTTTTGTCTTGCACAACACTGGTATTTCTAAGAGAACACACGTTTGTTTGCAGAATGTTTCCCAGCAGCCCCTCCAGGAGCTAGGCACTGGACGAAACAGGGGCGAAAAGCTCCCCAACAAGCTCGGGGACAGGAGTTGTCCCCGCAGGAGGGCAATGGCTCTGTATCCCCAGGTGGCCCTGTACGTGAGTGTGTGAGCAGAGGTAGTAGCTCTCCTTGCAAAAGCAGATACTTGGGTTCTAGTCCCAACCCAACAGTCGCTGTGTTGGTGGTTCGTGTAACCCCTGATGAGCACAGTGGACCAATATGTCCTTCTAAACCCAAAGCCTTGGGGATGATCTATGAGCTGTATTCGTATGAATGAGGAGTTCACCCTGGGGAGCAAGCGGCAAGACCACAGATTAAACAGGGGTCTGCCCCGGAGAATGTTGCATAAGAACCTCAGCAGACAAAGGAAACGTGGTTGCAGAAGGAGCCCAGTGAGCAGCCTGTGAGGAGTTATGGTGAGCCTGGAAAGGAAGGAAGACCCATGGCACAACTGAGACAAGAACCTGGGGTGGGGGTGGGGCCCTGGGGAAAAGGTGAGCGGTCACCCCGGCCTTCTCCCTGGCCCGGCCGGGGGTCTGGTGAGTAACTGTGAGCTGCACGGGGGTCATGAAGGAGGGTCGTGTGAGTGACGACAGTGGGAGGGAACACCCAGAGCGGCTTCCAAGGCTGCAGGAGAGGAGGCTGGCAATGCTGATGAGTCAGTTTGGTCTTTATTTGGAGCTACAGGAACAAAAACAAAAGTAAGACCCATGAGAAACAACCCATGTGGACTCTCTAAGAGGAAGTCAGTGGGAAAATCATTTCCAAGGGATATTGTGGTGAGAATCCTTAGCCAAAGAAAAGAATGACTTCGCCCAGACAGAGTCAGGCAGTGGGGACCCAGTTCACTCCGCCACTTGGTCTAAACCCAAGGGTTGTGTCGCGTAACTCCAGGGGCTGGGGACCACTCGAAACAGACCATGGTGGGTGAGAAATGCTGCAGTGATGGTGAAAGGGTCAGGAGCGAGGAAAGGTAAGAGTGAGGGTGAGGACGACTTTGAGAGGGAAAAGATGAACCGGGCCACCTGCTCTGTGCAAAAGCACAGACACTGGCAGGTGCGGCATCAGAGAGCAGCCCACGGGCAAAGCCGCAGGGTGTGGGGTTGAAGGGCACAGTGACACTTTCGGTCCTCGGGACAAACAGTGACCTTTGCAACAAGGACACACGAAAATGGCTTTGACCATGCCACCGTGAGAGAGAGAAAATAGCACCTGGCATTCCTTCTCTCAAACAAAAGGCAATCCATCTAGCATAGAAAAAAAAGTACATTTTATGATATTTCTGATGAAATTTGAAATCTGATTTTCATTTGGATGAAATATTCTCCCCGGGTCCTTGCATATTTCAGAATGAATTTCTCTTTTACCCATGGAGGATAACCAGCCATGAAACCAAATCCCTGCTACATAATTTCCCTCTCACAAACTCAAAGATGTGGCTGCTCCTTTAGCATTGGGGGGAGGGTAAGAAATACAGAAGGCAGCGATGCTTTTGTTTTCCTATAAAATGCCTATTTCTGTAGGTTTCTTTTCTTTTTGTTTGTACCTCAGATATGCACAAAGACATATTTAACTGCAATTCTCATTTTATTGGTTTTATCTGAAAATT